GGGGGTGTTCTGGCTGTGCCCCCCCCCCCATTTTTGGGGATGCTGGGGCCCCCCCCGCACCTGTTTGAGGGGTCACCCCCTGGCTCAGACCCCGTAAAACGCCGCCAGTCGCTCCTTGAGGAGGGGGGGGAACTGCTCCGAAAACTGCTGCCAGTTCTCCTCGCCCACCTGGGCCTTGAAGCCGTGCAGGATCTTCGGGGGGGGGGGTAAAAATAAAGATGAGAGCCCTGCTGAACCCCCTCCCAAAATGGGGGGGTCCCCAGAGCCCCCCCCGGGCCGTGGGTACCTTGTAAAACATGTCCCTCAGGTCGTCCTTGGGGCTCACCCAGGACGCGACGGCGTCGCAGAAGAAGATGAAATCCTGGGGAGGGGGGGAATTTGAGATGGAGGGGGGCAGGAAAACGGGGAGAAATGAAAGGGGGACACGCACATCAACGGGAGGGTGAAGTAGGGGGGACGCAGAGGGCCCCCCCTGCCCCCCCAGTTTTGGCTGGAGCCAAAGAGACGCCGCCAAAATCACCCCGTCGGAAGGTTTGAGTTCCCGCTCGCCCCCAGCTCAGGGGTAGCCCCCAGACCCCCCCCTAAAATGAGGTGCCCACTCCTCAAAACACCCTTGGGGACCACCCGAGGCCCCGGGGACCCCCCTACCTGCACGACCCCCCCGGGGTTCACCCCGATCATGACACAGATCCCCCGGAAGGCCGAGTCCTTCTCCTCGTTGTCGCGGATGTTCCGGAGCGACGTGCACCTTGGGGGGTGTGTGTGTGGAAACTGAGGTTCAGAGCCCCCCACCCCGAAATTTTGGGGGGTGTCAGGGACCCCTAAAAGCCCCCCTCAGACTCACCAGGGCCGGATAAACTGCTGCAGCATCGGGGCCACCTCCTGAGGGCACACGAAGCCGAGGCGCCCGATGGTGATGGCTGAGGAGAGATTGAGGATTTGGGGGGGGTGAGGATTTTGGGGGAGAATCCCCAGCACCCAACAGGTTGGGGGCGGTCCCTCTGTGCCCCCTCAGCCCTCACCCGTGTTCTCCAGCAGGGTTTTGGGGGTGTTGGGGCGGTTGATGATCTCCACGAGGTTGGTGAGGACCATCTGCACGTAGGGTTGCATTTCTGCTCCTGGGGGGTAAAAACAAGGGAGGGGGGCTCAGGTGAGGTTTGGAGGGGGCTGGGGGAGGTTCAGGTCAGTTTTTGGGGGGTCTCAGCCCGGTTTTTGGCGGGTCTCACCCATCTGCATGCAGATCTCCCCGATGGCCCAGGTCGCGTTGTTGCAGACGGAGATGAACTCGGGGTTCAGGTTGGTGCCCAGGATGGGCATGAATTCAGCTGGGGAGGGGAGGGACACACAGGTGAGCCTCCCTCAACTTTGGAAGGGTGTCCCCCCCCTCGAGGACCCCCAAAACCCACCGATACAGGGCTTGACGTGCACGAAACAGGCCTTGGTGAGGTCGCCCAGGAGGGCGAAGGAGCTTTGCCGCACCTCGGGCATCGTGTCCTGCGGGGACAAGGGCGGTTCAGGGGGGGGTCCTGGTGCCCCACCGAGGCATTTGGGGGGTCGTGGGGGGTCCCCCCTCACCTGCATGCACTGGAAAAGCAGCGTCATGATGTTGGAACGGGCCACCAGCTGCTCCACGTGGCCACCGAGCCCCTCGGCGAGGCCGCTCAGCAGGTCCAGGGCCACGATCATAAAATCCTTGTCGGGGGCCTCGTATTGCTCGGGGTGCTGGTTGTACATCTGGGGGGGGCACGGGGGGGGTTGGCACCGCGGGGGGAGAACACTGGCACCCCCCCCGGGGGTCCCCAAAACGCCACGAGAGGGAGGGAGGGGGGGGCTCACCATGGCCTGGGCCAGGGTTTTCTGGACCAGGGTGACGCAGCGCTGGTACACGGGCTCGCAGTAGGGCAGGAACCCGCTCTGCAGGGCCGTGGCCACCGAGGACAGGCACTGGGGGGACACCCCAAAACAGGTCAGGCACCCAAAAACAAGATGTGTCCCCCCCCGACTTGGGGGATCCCCCCAATTTTGGCTGGAGCCAACAGAACCCCCCAAAACCACCCCGGTGGAAGGTTCCAGTCCCTGTTCCCCCTCAGCTCAAGGGAAGCCCCCACACCCAACACACTCTACAGACCCCCCAAAATAGGGGACAGGAACTGGAGGGACACCCCAAAACAGGTCAGGCAACCCCAAAACAAAGTGTGTCCCTCCCCTGACTCGGGGGAACCCACCAATTTTGGCTGGAGCCAACAGAACCCCCCCAAACCACCCCAATGGAAGGTTCCAGTCCCTGTTCCCCCTCAGCTCGGGGGAAGCCCCCACACCCAACACACTCTACAGACCCCCCAAAATAGGGGACAGGAACTGGAGGGACACCCCAAAACAGGTCAAGCACCCCCAAAACCA